TGGCAATACAAAGCATCAACCAGCAGCAGCATTAAAGGCTACAACAACAACAAAATTTAAAAACTTTTGCCACATTGCATGAGTGAGTTTGCTGTCCAACGGCTGACAATATGCTAAGCTGTCAACAGCTGTCGACCCAAATGGTTGGTGCGTATAAAAGCGGAAACAACTACATACCTATATGAATACATGGTACGTACATATGTACATATACGCAGATGTGCTTTTGCAAGCGAGTTACGCATTTTGATTTGCTTTTGTAGGCTTATGCTGTATCAGAGCGCCTACATATCATAAGCAATAACCGCCTAAGTCGACTTAAGAAAGATAGTGAGTTGTATATGCCATAGTATTCTGCAACAAATATTCCAAATGTATGTGAAATTCCCATTTTGCTAGCTAGGCTATTTAAAAAGTTATAGACGAACATATAAGGATAACACTTTAATCCAAATGTTTAAAAGGTTTTTTCTCAAATTCAAGTTTTTCGACTTATTTATTTATTTATTTATTTATTCGTTCATTTATTTAGTTATTTATTTATTCATTTACTTACTTACTTACATACTTACTTACTTACTTACTTATTTACTTACTCACTTGCTTACTTACTTACTTACTTACTTACTTACTTACTTATTTACTTTTTTTTTTTTTTTTTTTTTTTTTTTTTTCGTAGGAGAGGGAAATGCTTTATGCACTGGCCGGGGGCGCTAGTCTCTATACTACCTTCCCCGAGTGTGGGACTCCCACCGAAGCGTGTTGGGCTACCCACTAAAACCCAAACTCCCACCGCCCGCGCAAGAATCCCGCATCTGGCACCGCAATTCTGCATGTCTTCAGATGCAGGAGCGCGCTGTTAGAGCCTTGGGGCTGCTCTTTTGTAGGGGCGTTTCATTCGGGTGTCCTCAGTAGACAACCGTCCTCTCGTTTGCAGCGGAGTACGAATTTCACGTATCTCGCAACTGCTTCCCACTTTTCTGCGCTGGAAATCATTATCCCAACTATGTTGTCCGGAGTAATGTCTCCGTGTCTTTCTTCCAACATTCTGCGCGAAATCAAGAAGTGTTCGCAGGTGAAGAATGTGTGGTACACGTTATCTTCGACGTTTCCACAGTAGTGACAGAACGGTGAGTCCACCCTTCCCATTCTATGAAGATATTCTCGGAAGTAACCATGACCGGTGAGGAATTGCGTCAGGTAGAAATCGACTTCCCCATGTGGTCTGTTCAGCCATGTTTGAAGGTCGGCTATCAGGGAGTGTGTCCATCGACCTTTTGTGCTCGCGTTCCAGTTTTGTTGCCACTGCTGGATCAGTTGCTCGCGCGCCCTTGCCGCGGCAGCTGCTCGACCTATCTCGGCACTTAGATTGTAAATCTCTTTTCGCTCGTAAGCAAGTAGCTCAATTGGCATGACGCCAGAAATAACTAGAACCGCGTCCGCGGACACTGTACGGTATGCAGAAGCAATGCGTAGTGCCCCTCTGCGCTGTACCGAAGACATTTGAACCCGGTATTTTTTGACTTTCAATGCGTCAGCCCATATTTCTGCCCCGTACAGGAGCACCGATTGGACCGCTGTCATCAGAAGCTTCCTGCGGCATGGCTTCGGGCCGCCCACGTTTGCCATCAGCCGGCTTAGAGCCGCCGTGCTCTGCGCAGCTTTTTCACATACTCCATGGATGTGTTCCCAGAATGTGAGTTTGCTGTCAAGCTTCACCCCTAGGTATTTTGTAGACCTAGAAGTCGTCACGGGTTGAGGTCCGACCATTATATTTATAATTGTTGGGATCCGTTTCCTGGTGAGGAGCACGATCTCCGTTTTGGCTGTAGCCAGTTGCAGACCGTGATCGCTCATCCATCCACTGACGTTGCGCATGACCTGGTTTAGCTTGAGCTGTGCTAGCTGGACATTTCTTGCTGTTATGACGGCTGCCACGTCGTCCGCGAAGGCGACAAGGAAGGCGCTCTCCGGCATTTCCGTGCGCAACAGACTGTCATACGTGGCGTTCCAGAGGTCCGGGCCAAGTACAGACCCCTGTGCCGCTCCGCCGGTTATACGTCTCTTTCTCTGACCTTGTGTTGTGTCGTACAAAAGCCAACGGTCTCTGAGGTAGTCCCGGATCATATCTAGCGAGTATGTTGGAACCTTGAATGACCGTTCCAAGGCCTCCAGCATATCGTCCCATCTTGCCGAGTTGAAGGCGTTCTTGACGTCCAGTGTGACTAGCAGCACTATTGGCCGCGCCTGGTGGCAGGCTTCTTCGGCCTTATGTACCGCCTCGACTACTTCGCCAATTGCTCCTATAGTTGAGTGTCCCTTCCTGAAGCCATGTTGTCGGGGTGAAAGGCCTCCCTCGCTTTCTATGGCTGACGTCAAGCGTATTTTGAGCAGACTCTCCATCATTTTGCCTGCTGTGTCTAGCATGCAGAGTGGCCGGAAGGATGAAGGAGAGTTTGGGTCCCCTTTGCCCTTGGGTATAAGCACCAGTCTCGCCTTCTTCCATTGGCTTGGGAAAACCCGGGCCCTAAGGCAGCTGTTGTACATGTTAAGCAGAAGATCAGGGCTCGTTTCCGCTGCTAACCTGATTGCCTCCGCTGGTATGCCATCTGGGCCTGGAGCCTTGCCGGCTTTTATGCTTCGCAGGGCTAGCTTCAGCTCGTCTGTCGAA